GGAAGAAAGAAGGGGGTATTATGATTAGCATGTATAATGTGGGGGTTGGGGCAAAGGGGAGGGCTTTGCAACACACAGAAGACAAGTAGTGATTCTACAACATCTTACTATGCTGATGGACAGTGACTGTAATGGGGTTTGTGGGGGGGACTTGGGGTAGGGGAGAGTCTAATAAACATAATGTTCTTCAAAAAAAAATTAGTTGTTCAGCGTCAGAACCCTGTGTGATGACCTACAATAAAAAGTATACTTTGCAAGATGAAAAAAAAAAAAAAGAAATCGCTAATTTTGTTTGGAGCCAGATTGCTTGAGCTGAAATTCCAACTCTGGTACTTATTAACTATGTTATTAAATCTTCCTGTATATCTATTTCTTTATCATTAAACTGAGAATAATGCTCTTGTAAGGATTACAGTTTGTTAGTAACATAAGATGTTTAGAATTGTGCCTGGAATGTAGAATGGGTTCGGTAAATACTGGTTACTGTTAGTCCAGTAATAGTAATGTAATAGTAGTTATTGTTATTATTTTATAAAAGAACACATTTATTTAGCATTTTCTTTATCGAAGAGAACAGAGCAGCCCTATGACCCTAAGATTAATCAAACTGTACTAACAAAGAGGACTTTTAAGAGATCAATATGATTTCATAGGTCCTATGAGAAACTGCTTATTTGCATATTTGGTGACTCTTCTCCATATACATGCATATATGTAAAAATATTGGCAGCATTTGGGGACTTCCATCCCACAGAAAATGATTGCACATAACTCCAAAATCCAGCAAGCATTTATTAGGTTCCTACTATGCTATTTGGTACAGAAGCACTGAACTCACTAGAAGTTCATAGGGGGAAATAAAAGGTATACATTTAATGAGTAAATTAGAAAGCAAACTAAAGCAAAGTATATACTAGTGCATAATTTAGAGATATATCTCACATACTTATGTGTCATAGGAATTAGAGAGAAATGAAAAATGTAGTTAATTTGATAATTCATAGGTGAAGTAGATCTTATGGAAATAAAATGTGGATGATGGCATGACTTTATGTAATCAGAATTAATCTTGGTTCTTGGTTCCTTAATTCAATAAAATTAAATAATACCTGAAAACTGAGAAATGGGAAGATTTACCAATGGGAAAGGGCAGTGTCTTCAATAACTGGTACTAGGAAACTGGACAGCAGCATGCAAAACAATGAAACTGGACCACTATCTTACACCATACATAAAAATTAACTCAAAATGGAATAAAGACTTGAATGTAAGACTTGAAACTGAAACTTCTAGAAGAACAGAGGCAGTAAGCTCCTTGCATTGCTCTTGGCAATGATTTTTTAAATCTGACACCAAGAGCAAAATTATAAAAGTGAGACTACATCAAACTGAAAAGCTTCTGCACAGCAAAAGAAACCATTACAAAATGAAAAGGCAACCTACTGAATGGGAAAAAATATTTGCAAATCATGTATCTGATAAAGGGTTAATATCAAAAATATATAAACAACTCATATAATTCAACAGCAAAAAACAATCTGATTAAAAAGTGGGCAGATCTGAACAGACACTTTTTCAAAGATGACATACAGATGGCCAACAGGTACATGAAAAGATGCTCAATATCACTCATTAGGGAAATGCAAATATAAACCACAATTAGATATTACCACATTCAGTGAGAATGCCTAGTATCAAAAAGACAAGAAATAACAAGTACTGGAAAGAATGCAGAGAAAGGTAACCCTTGTGCACTATTGGTGGGAAAGTAAATTGGTTCAGCCACTATGGAAAACAGTATAGAGTTCCTCAAAAAAACTAAAAATAGAAGTACCATATGATCCAGCAATTCTACTTCTGGGTATTTATCTGAAAAAAACAAAAACATTAACTCAAAAGATATATGTACTTTTATATTTATTGCAGCATTATTTTCAATTGCCACAATATGGAAACAAGTGTCTATTGATGGATGGATAAAGAGTATATATATATACACACAATAGAACATTAGCCAAAAAAAGAGGAAATCTTGCCATTTAGACCAAATGGATGGATCTTGAGAACATTATGCTAAGTGAAATAAGTCAAAGAAAGACAAATACCATATAATCTCACTTAGATGTGGAATCTTAAAAATGCAAAAATCAAAACCCAAAATACTAAGCTCACAGATACAGAAAACAGGTTGGGGTTAAAGGGTGGGCAAAATGGGTGAAGGAAGTCAAAAGGTACAAATTTCCAGTTACAAAATAAATAAGTCATGGGGATGTAATGTACAACATGGTGACTACAATTAATAATACTGTATTGCATATTTGAAAGTCATTGTAAATCTTAAGAGTTCTCACCATACACAAAATTTCTGTAACTATATATGGTGACAGATGATAACTAGAATTATTGTGGTCATCATTTTACAAAGCATACCAATATCAAATCATTATGTTGCTCACCTCAAAGTAATATAATGCTGTATATCAATTATTCTTCAATAAAAGGAACTATCAAGAATATTTGGATGATGATAATGTTATGACTTTATATAATCAAGATTAATCTTGGTTCTTTAATTGAACAAAATGAAATAACATCTAAAAACTAGAATGGAAAGATTTACCTATGATTTTTCTGAAGCTTCTTGAAGGACATTATTTCAGAAGTCAAATATGCATTTTGTTCATGTTCTTTGTTGAAAGACATCTGCGAATTCTACAGGGGAAAATTTTCCTTTCTTTTTTTTTTCCACATGTAAGAGCTATTTATTACATATATCTCTATCAAAATACCTGTTCTGTATTTTGGTGAGTACCACTTCAACTTCTAATGATATACACAGGTAAGTGCCTTATAAAGTATTTTTAAAAATCTTGAAACAAACTCCCAAATGTCTCTTTTTTAAAATTAAATTATTTTAAAACTACTTATTACAAATATTCCCCTGCTGCGATCCCAACCAGAAAGAATTTGCCTAAAACTGTAACCTAAGTACCTCCCTAGTATCCATTTATCAGGAAGTCCTACACTCTATGATAAAATATTTGTTAGTTTGTATTACATACATTTTTTCCTATTAATAGAAAGGCCTTGTGATTTCAAAGAAATGCATTCAAGGATCTTTTAAAGTTGTAAGTAGGTGAAGATATTTTTATCAAGGAATACCAAGGGGTGGAGTAGAACAAAGTACTTATGCTCTTTGAAAAAAAGAAAAAAAAAGCCAGTTTTCTTTGAGATAAGAGAAGGTGATAGGGATATGAGTTGTGCATTGGGCTTTCCTTAACTTATACCTATTCACTGAGGAAAGACAAAGTATAAGTCCTCTCCCTACAGAGAGAGAACAACTCTTCTATTTTTCCAGGAGAATCATCTCAAGGAACGTAAATATCACATAACAACAAATGAGATAAAACCAGAATAATTATTCCAAATAGGATCTATACATTGAGATTGATTCAGAAATGTGTTTTGATGTAAAAACAGTATTTCTTTTTTTCATTTTTTATTGTGGTAAACTATACATAATAAAATCTACCATTTTAACTCTGTTAAGTCTGTTATGCACTTAAAATATTCACATGTTCTAAGTTCAGTAGCATTAAATACATTTATATTGTACAATCATTACCACCAAGGAATGTTTTATATTTCTAACATTTCATTAAAAAGTTTCTTTATAATAATTGGTTTGCAATAAGCATAAAATGCAAATAAGTTGCATTTTTGCTGATTCACATTTTTCAAAACTATAATACCCTGCATGAAATGATTTATTTCCTAATACTCAATTGATAACAGTTCTGAATACACAGCTCATTTACACTGAAACTTTTTTAAAATAAAGGTTTTTAGGAGAATCAGAAGGATTATTAAGTCAACATAAGTGAGAAAATAGTACTTAGTGAAGGGAGGAGAGAACATCTCTGTACTCTACAATCTCAGAATGTACCTTATTTTCTTCAACCAACTTGGAAATGAGGTCATCTCTAGAAACTAAAATAAAAGTCCACATAACTATGATAATAATAACTTACCACTAAATACATTGAAATCCCACAGTATTTTTTTCCTGAGTTTTTTTTTTAGTCTGTATTTTGCAGACGTAAGGAGAATGTAAGGCTTTCTGTCATATCAATATATTTTTATAGGCTGGAAACAAAGTCACGGAATAATCAAGAAATGAGACCAAAGGCATGTGCAATGTTAACTGACGTCACATTTTATCCCATGCATAGATGATGATGAATCTCTCAAGGATTTTAAGCCAGAGAGGCATACATTAAAAGTTTTTCGTTAGAGAGATCACACTAACAGAGGCTCAATAAAGATAAGGAGATTCGGTTAGCAGCTGTCACAGTAACTGAAGTATGAAACAATGAGAACTGGTTTTAAGGTAATGGCAATGGCATGCAGAGGAAAACAGACTCATGAAATAACAAGCAGGGAGAACTGTCAGGACTTGGTGGCTGACTGGTGGGGTAAATGCAAAAGATGAGTCAAGGAAAATTTCTAGTGTTCAGATATGAACAGTGTGATGGGTGGTGTACTCTTCAACTAAATATGGAATACGGGGCAAGGAGCATGTGTGGGGGTTAGAATGAGTAAGAATGACTGCTATACTTAAGTTTTCATTATGTGCTTTGACGTATTTGCAAGGCATCCAAATATAGATGTTCAATTGGCAGTCAGATACCATCTGGAGCTCGGGAGGATGATTTTGTGTGGAAAAAGAAAGATTTGAAACCACTCAGAGAGTATATACAATAAAAATAACACTACCGAGAGAAATAGGGAAGTAGTATGGCATTGTGTACTAGTAACCAAAAGATGTAAACTTTTCTGACAGTAATGTTTTGCCTTCATAGAAAATTCATAAAGATCTATTCGTTATGTATAACTTAAATACTCTAAACCCAGAAAATTATAAAGTTGCATATTTTTTGTAGAGTATACTTAGAAAAACTACGCTTTTGAACATACGAGTCCAAGACTCATTTCCAATAGAGTGATTTCTAATTTAAAATATGTAAAGGATCAAAAAGACAAAGTAAAAAAATTTTTTAGAAGATGAATTATGTAATCTATTTAGAAAATTCCTCTCATCTAAAATTAGTATATGAGTGTCTTTCTCTCTATATCTGTAAATGTTTATTGCTAATAAACACATTAACAATTGTTAATAAATAATTATGTTTTAATTCATTGAAGCTAGTATCTAAAGGCACTTCTTTTATTATATGCATGTAAAGAGAGTTGGTATTCAGACAGGCTTCTGTTTCCTCATGTTAGTTTGAATTACTGTTGTTTTAATCATCATTTTTAATGGTCTTCTATATATTCTTCACAAAATTCAAATTAAAGCATTAATGCAATGAGAAAATAATATTTAAAAAATCACTTAATCAGGACGACTAATACAATAGAAAGATCTGTGTTTTAGTCCCACGTATCCTATTTGCTGTGGGTGCTTATCTACAGATCATTTTATTCTTCTGTGGAATGAGCTATATAAATATATTTTATCTTTCTCACAGGGTTGTTGTGAGGCTCAAATGAGATAATGCAGCAGTACCATAAAATGTAACTTGCATTTTTGTAGCCACGCCATCAAAGAAAGACAGAAAATTACCTTGGGACATTATCAGTGAGAATTTCAGAGTAATTCACTACTCAGCAGTTATAAAGAAAAAGTAATCCACTCTGCAACAACTGTAAGGAAAAAAGAGCACCTTCTGCTAAAAGCAGTAAGTCAAAACATTGACTGGATTACTCTATTTTTTTTTTTTATAATTTTGACTTCTCTTTTGGTATTCCCTGTCCCCATTACAGCCAGAGAACAGGGAACGCACACTGGCAAGAACGCTGGGATCAGAGTTATAAGATCCAGGTTCCGGCCTTGCTTTGCCATTAATTCATTTTGTGACTTTGGGAAGTATAGTTTTCTGTGTTAGATGAGATCATTTATGTGAAAGCTCTGTGTAAACTATGAAGCGTCATTCATGTGGGATGCACTGCACTGTCACTCTTTGTGATCTTTATAGTTGAGACTATCTGAAAACTGTTTTACAATTATCTATTAATAATAGTAATGTGACAAGGGCTGATGGGTTGGAAGAAGCATGACTCTGAGCAACTGAGACCAAGACTGGACTCTTCCATTTCTTAGCTCTACCACCTCTAAGGACTGTTTCCTTATCTGTAAAACAAGGAGATTAAGTTCGAAGGTACCTTACAACCAATCCATTTTTACAAATACAAAATACAAAATACAAAATAGATTGGTAACCTGATGAATGGTAAGTCTAACATGATAAATGGTTAGAATTGGTAGCTTAGCAAAGATTAATGGCCTTATTTCCTTATTAGCATTCTATTATCCAATATTAAATCTAAATTTCTATGGAAACCAAATGTTCCCAAGTCTGCACTTAAATCAGAAAAAAATCTAAATAAAGAGAAGTTTATTTTATCTCAACAAAAAAGAATTGTTTACAAATTCTACTTTATTGCCAACGTTCTCTTTTTTCTCAGTGCCACAGACAGAATAGAAATTAGCAATTTTTTACATTCAGGCATTTACATGTGGGAAATACTGGTAACACTGGCCACTTCAAGAATTTGGGTTCTTAAGAGTCTTTGCATGAAATCTCAAAAAACAAAAGTATAATTTCTAGCATCTATTTTCATACTTAGATCAGACTTGAGCTGTGAGGTCGCAGTCTCCAACTCTCCTTTTTTCTGCTGCTCCTGTTCAAGTAGCTCTTGGGTGGTCTGGATAGGCCTATGCAGGGCAATGCACTTCCTTTGCAAAATTTGCACCTTGAATTTTATAAGAAAAACTCCTTTTCTGTAAGGTAAAGATTATTAGTAAACTACCGTACAGCACTTGTATAATGCAGATTTTCGATCTTAACATCCCTGAAGGGAGAACGGGAAGTTTATATGTTACAGTTAAAGATCTCAGCAGAACGCAGTGTCTTGTAACAGTGCTGTCCTACAGAGCTTTCTGTGCACTCTCCAACAAAGTATCAGCAGTGGCGGCTGCCACTTGAAATGTAGTCAGATTGAGTGAGGAATTGAATCTTTAATTTTACTTAATTTTAACTCATTTAAGTTTTAGTACCTATATGAGGCTAGTGGCTACTATACTGGCACTACACGTTATAGCAATAAAATCATTTACAAATTCCTTATGTAGAAACCTTTTTATAATTCTGTAGTGAAGGACAGCTATTGGCTAAAATAATAATGATTATATAATCCAATTATTGGTATTATGATTTGGAGCTACTAATTGCCTTGGGGACTCAGAATTTGAAAAATTCTAAATTACATGTAGGTACATTAAATAACAAGTATGATGAAGACAAAAATACTATGCTAAAACAAATCATGAGAATTAAAAACAGCCATGTAAACACATCCCTGATTATTTTACTATTGTTACTCTTTGCTTCAACCATTAGATCAGCTTTATCTTTTTGCTATCCACAGCCATGTAACATGAGACTAGGGCAGTGCCTGCCAAAATCAATTCCTGTAACGGATTTCCTATACTTTGATTTATTCATATATATATATTTATCCCATAGTATTGTAAATATACCTCTGAAAGCTGTCACAATTGTTTCAGAATGTAAGGGTCTAAACAAATAATGAAGCAACTCTTAAGTAGCAAGCAAAACTGACTTTTTAAGAATTGGGGTACACTGATCTTCTTTCTCTCAATAAATGACTACAAAATGAGTGAAATGAAGATGTAAAAAAGGAACCGTCTCTTTTATCATGAGTAAACAGATCCTTTCTAATTTAAATGGAATTGCAGAATGCTATTATTGATGTGATTTTAAACTAAAAGAAATTCTTTTTTAAGCTCCAGTTAAGATGACATAAAAGTACCCTTTTTAAATTTTCTCTGAATTATACGTATATATTTTATATGTATTTTTCCTATGGATTTTTTTTTAATATTTAAAAGTTTTTAAAAAGAGATGAAAAATGTGACGGCATTAAACATATAAATAGCCCATCTGGAAATGTTCTATGATATTCTTAATCATACCCCTAATATTGAACATTTTGGTTTTTCCAGTTTTTCACTAAATATTGTTCTGCTGAACACGCTTGTGAATAAGTACTTCATTCCATTTCTGATTATTTCCTTAGGATAAATTCCTAAAAAAGGAACAAATAGGTTAAAGGTATAAGCATTTTTTAGATTTTTGATAACTGTAATTTTCCTACCAATTTTAGCCTCTTATTAGTAGCATTTGAATGAATCCTATCAGCACTATGTATTATTTTCTTAAATATATCCTAATCTAATAAATGGAAAATAAAATTTTAAAAATAATTTTTCATTTCTTTGGTTACTACTAAGATTAAACATTTTCTAATATAGTTATTAGCTCTTTATATGTTTTCTGAGCTGTTATCTGCCCACTTGTATTTTTTGTTTGTTTTTTGGAGTTTTTTAAAGTCAATTTTAAGTTCTTTAAAAGGGAAGATTATTAATTCTTAGTCTATTTTTGTTATATTTTATTAGTTTTGCCTTCGCTTTTTGCTTTTTTACATGTAGAAATTTTTAAGTTTTATGAGTCAAACCTATTGAGCTTTTCATAATTCTGTTCTTTCCAAGTTTAAAAATTCCTTCCTCATCCAATGATCAGTTAAGTATTAAAAATTTTTAAAGAATGAGCCATAGCTATTATTTTTGGTTATATTTTATAATAATCTAATACTAAGTGTATCAGATTATAATTAAATTATAATACAGAGTAGCTTATATATTTTTCTAGTTCTGGATCAAATTATAGCTTGATTTGCTCCAGGTATAATTTAAGTGCTTTATAAAGGAAATCTTCATTTGATAGTCATTTCTGAAGCATTATTATTTTTTGTTTAATCAGCCATTTATTTAAAAATATTCTATTAAGGTATTATTGATATCACCCTTATGAAGGTTTCACATGAAAAAACAAAGTGGTTACAACATTTACCCGTATTATCAAGTCTCCACCCATACCCCAATGTAGTCACAGTCCATCAGTGTAGTAAGATGCCACAGATTCACTATTTGCTTTCTCTGTGCTACACTGTTTTCCCCATGATTCCGCACACCATATGTACTAAACATAATACCCCTCAATCTCCTTCTCCCTCCCTCCCCATCCACCCTCCCACCACTAGTTCCTTCTTGGAGTTTGTGAGTCTGCTGCTATTTTGTTTCTTCAGTTTTGCTTCATTGTTAGACTCCACAAATGAGGGAAATCATTTGATACTTGTCTTTCTCTGCCTGGCTTATTTCACTGAGCATAATATCCTCCAGCTCCATCCATGTTGTTGCAAATGGTAGGATTTGTTTCTTTCTTATGGCTGAATAGTATTCCATTGTCTACATGTACCACATCTTCTTTATGCATCCATCAACTGATGGACCCAACAGGTTGCTTCCAAATCTTCGCTATTATAAAAAGTGCTGCAATAAGCACAAGGATGCATATGTCTTTTTGAATCTGAGAAGATGAATTCTTTGGGAAAATTCCAAGGAGTGGGATCCCCAGGTCAAATGGTATTTCTATTTTTAGTTTTTTGAGGAACCTCCATATTGCTTTCCACAATGGCTGATCTATTTTACATTCCCACCAGCAGTGTAGGAGGGTTCCCCTTTCTCCGCATCCTCGCCAACATTTGTTGTTCGTAGTCTTTTTGATGCTGGCCATATGAGGTGATATCTCATTGTGATATCTCATTGTGGTTTTAATTTGCATTTCCCTGATGATTAGTGACGTGGAGCATCTTTTCACGTGTCTGTTGGACATCTGAATTTCTTCTTTTGAGAACTGTCTCTTCATATCCTCTGCCCATTTGTTAATCATGTTATTTGCTTTTTGGGTGTTGGGGCATATAAGTTCTTTATATATTTTGGATGTTAACCCCTTGTTGGATATGTCATTTACAAATATATTCTCCCATACTGTAGGATGCCTTTTTGTTCTGTTGATGGTGTCCTTTGTCCTACCGAAACTTTTTAGTTTGATGTAGTCCCATGGGTTCATTTTTGCTTTTGTTTCCCTTGCTCAAGGAGATGTACTCAAGAAGAAGTTGCTCATGCTTATATTCAGGATATTTTTCCCTACGTTGTCTTCTAAGAGTTTTATGGCTTCATGACTTACATTAAGGTCTTTGATCCATTTTGCATTCACTTTTGTATATGGGGTTAAACAGTAATCGAGTTTCATTCTCTTGCATGTAGCTGTCCAATTTTGCCAATACTACCTGTCGAAGAGGCTGTCATTTCCCCATTGTATGTCCATGGCTCCTTTATCATATACTAATTGACCAAATATAGTTGGGTTTATATCAGGGCTCTCTAGTCTGTTCCATTGGTTTGTGTGTCTGTTCTTGTGCCAGTACCAAATTGTCTTGATTACAGTGGCTTTGTAGTAGAACTTGAAGTTGGGGAGCATAATATCCCCAGTTTTATTCTTCCTTCTCAGGATTGCTTTGGCTATTTGGGGTCTTTTGTGGTTCTATATGAATTTTAGAATGATATTCTCTAGTTTATTGAAGAATGCTGTTGGTATTTTGATAGGAATTGTATTGAATCTGTAGATTGCTTTAGGCAGGATGGCCATTTTGACAATATTAATTCTTCCTATCCATGAGCACGGGATGTGTTTCCATTTATTGGTATCTTCTTTAATTACTCTCATGAGTGTCTTGTAGTTTTCAGAGTATAGGTCTTTCATTTCCTTCATTAGATTTATTCCTAGGTATTTCATTCTTTTTGATGCAATTGTGAATGTAATTGTTTTCCTGATTTCTCTTTCTGCTAGTTCATCATTTGTTTATAGGAATGCCACAGATTTCTGTGTATTAATTTTGTATCCTGCAACTTTGCTGAATTCAGATATTAGATGTAGTAGTTTTGGAGTGGATTCTTTTGGTTTTTTAATGTACAATATCATGTCATCTGTAAACAGGGACCGTTTAACTTCTTCCTTGCCAATTTGGAGGCCTTTTACTTCTTTGTGTTGTCTGAATTCCATGGCTAGGACCTCCAGTACTATGCTGAATAGAAGTGGAGAGAGTGGGCTTCCTTGTCTTGTTCTCAATCTTAAAGGAAAAGCTTTCAGCTTCTTGCTGTTAAGTATGATGTTGGCTGTGGATTTGTCATATATGGCCTTTATTATGTTGAGGTACTTGCCCTCTATACCCATTTTGTTGAGAGTTTTTATCATGAATGGATGTTGAATTTTGTCGAATGCTTTTTCAGCATCTATGGAGATGATCATGTGGTTTTTGTCCTTCTTTTTGTTGATGTGGTGGATGATGTTGATGGATTTTCGAATGTTGTACCATCCTTGCATCCCTGGGATGAACCCCACTTGGTCATGGTGTATGATCCTTTTGATATACTGTTGAATTCTGTTTGCTAATATTTTATTGAGTATTTTTGCATCTACATTCATCAGGGATATTGGTCTGTAATTTTCTTTTTTGGTGGGGTCTTTGCCTGGTTTTGGTATTAGGNGGTTTGCTAATATTTTGTTGGGTATTTTTGCATCTATGTTCATCAGGGATATTGGTCTGTAATTTTCTTTTTATGTGGTGTCTTTGCCTTGTTTTGGTATTAGAGTGATGCTGGCCTCATAGAATGAGTTAAGAAGTATTCCCTCTTCTTCTACTCTTTGGAAAACTTTAAGGAGGATGGGTATTAGGTCTTCACTAAATGCAGTGGTGAACCCATCTGGTCCAGGAGTTTTGTTCTTAGGTAGTTTTTTGATTACCACTTCAATTTCGTTGCTGGTAATTGGTCTGTTCAGATTTTCTGTTTCTTCCTGGGTCAATCTTGGAAGATTGTATTTTTCTAGAAAGTTGTCAATTTCTTCTAGGCTATCCAGTTTGTTAGCATATAATTTTTCACAGTACTCTCTAATAATTCTTTGTACTTCTGTGGTGTCCGTAGTGATTTTTCCTTTCTCAGTTCTGATTCTGTTTATGTGAGTAGACTCTCTTTTTTCTTGATAATTCTGGCTATGGGTTTATCTATTCTGTTTATTTTCTCAAAGAACCAGCTCTTGCTTTCATTGATTCTTTCTATTGTTTTATTCTTCTCGATTTTATTTATTTCTGCTCTAATCTTTATTATGTCCCTCTTTCTACTGACTTTGGGCCTCATTTGTTCTTTTTTTTCTAGTTTTGTTAATTGTGAGTTTAGACTGTTCATATGGGGTTGTTCTTCTTTCCTGAGATAGGCCTGTATTGCAATATACTTTCCTCTTAGCATGGCCTCCGCTCCGTGCACAGATTTTGCGGTGTTGAATTATTGTTGTTATTTGTCTCAATATATTGCTTGATCTCTGTTTTTATTTAGTCATTGATCCATTGGTTATTTAAGAGCATGTTGTGAAGCCTCCATGTGTTTGTGGGATTTTTCACTTTCTTTGCATAATTTATTTCTAGTTTCATACTTTTGTGGTCTGAGAAACTGGTTGGTACAATTTCAATCTTTTTGAATTTACTGAGGCTCTTTTTGTGGCCTAGTATATGATCTATTATTGAAAATGTTCCATGTGCACTTGAGAAGAATGTGTATCCTGCTGCTTTTGGGTGTAGAGTTCTGTAGATGTCTGTTAAATCCATCTCTTCTAATGTGTTGTTCAGTGCCTCTGTCTTCTTACTTATTTTTTGTCTGGTTGTTCTGTCTTTCAGAGTGAGGGGAGTGTTGAAGTCTCCTATAATGAATGTATTGCATTCTATTTCCCCTTTTAATTCTGTTAGTATTTGTTTCACATATGTAGGTGCTCTTGTGTTGGGCACATAGATATTTATAATGGTTATATCTTCTTGGTGGATTGACCCTTTTATCATTATGTAAGGTCCTTGTTTGTCTCTTGTGACTTTCTTTCTTTTGAAGTCTATTTTGTCTGATACAAGTACTGTAACACCTCTTTTTTCCCTTTTAGTTGCATTAAATATATTTTTCCATCCCTTAACTTTTAGCCTGTGTATGTCTTTGGGTTTAAAGTGTGTCTCTTATAGGCAGCATATAGATGGGTCTTATTTTTTTATCCATTCAGTGACTCTATGTCTTTTGGTTGGTGCATTCAGTCCGTTTACATTTAGGGTGATTATTGATAGGTATGTACTTATTGCCATTGCAGGCTTTAGATTAGTGATTACCAAAGGTTCAAGGTTAACTTTGTACTGTCTAAGAGTTTAACTTAACTCACTTAATATGCTATTACAAACACAATCTAAAAGGTTTTTTTTCCTCCTCCTGTTTCTTCCTCCTCTATTCTATATATATTAGGTTTCATATTCTGTACTTTTTGTCTGTCCCTTGATTGACTCTGTGGATAGTTAATTTAATTTTGCATTTGCTTAGTAATTAGTTGTTCTACTTTCTTTACTGTGGTTTTATTACTTCTGGTGACAGCTATTAAACCTTAGGAATACTTCCATCTATAGCAGTCCCTCCAAAATACACTGTAGAGATGGTTTGTGGGAGGTAAGTTCTCTCAGCTTTTGCTTATCTGGAAATTGTTTAATCCCTCCTTCAAATTTATATGATAATCTTGCCATATAAAGTAATCTCAGTTTGAGACCCTTCTTCTTCATTGCATTAAATACATCATGTCACTCCCTTCTGGACTGTAAGGTTTCTGCTGAGAAGTCTGATGATAGCCTGATGGGCTTTCCTTTGTATGTGATCTTATTTCTCTCTGTGCCTGCTTTTAATAGACTGTCCTTATCCTTGATCTTTGCCATTTTAATTAATATATATCTTGGTATTATCTTCCTTGAGTCCCTTGTGTTTGGAGATCTGTGCACCTTCATGGCCTGAGAGACTATCTCCTTCCCCAGATTCGGGAAGTTTTCAGCAATTACCTCCTCATAGACACTTTGTGTCCCTTTTTCTCTCTCTTCTTCTTCTGGTAACCCTATAATGCGAATATTGTTTCATTTGGATTTGTCACACAGTTCTCTCAATATTCTTTCATTTTTAGAGATCCTTTTTTCTCTCTGTGCCTCAGCTTATTTGTATTCCTCTTCTCTAGTTTCTATTTCATTTATTGTCTCCTCCACCATATCTTATCTGCTTTTAATACCCTCCATTGTGCTCTTCAATGATTGGATCTCCGACTGGAATTCATTCCTGATTTCTTGAATATTTTTTGGTACCTCCATGAGGATGTTAATGATTTTTATTTTGAACTCCCTTTCAGGAAGATTCATGAGGTCGATGTCATTTAAATCTTTCTCAGGAGTTGTATTAATAATTTTACTTTGAAGTAGGTTTCTTTCATGTTTCATATTTGTAAATGGCACCCTCTAGTGTCCAGTAGCTCTACTCTCTGGAGCTGCTCAGTCCCTGAAGCAATGTCTGGGGTTGCAGGGGAGTGGCATTGGTGCCTTGGGGGAGGAAAGAGCTGTTTCCTGCTTCCTGGCTGCTATGCTTGTCTCCCCTGCCTGAACCAGTAGGCCCAGCCCAGAGGTGTAAGCCTCTATGCTTTGTGTTTGTAGTTGCTACAGACAGGTCTTTCCTCTGGCTGGCTTAATTCCAGCGTTGGGTTTGCTGGTTTGTGAGCCGGGTGGAGCTGGCTGGTAGAAAGGCACAGTAGGCTGCATATCATGGGGAGGGTCCTTGGAGCTGTGTAGGGAGCCAGGGAACTGGAGCGCCTGAAGATTGTGAAAGCTCCCAACCTGTTGGGCAAAGAGCACCTGGGCAATCTTGTCTACCTGTCTTTTATCCTGAGCAGTAAGCTCTGTGCAATCCTTGCCCCTTTAGCAGCCCTCTTGCTGTTAGGAAGTCTCTAGACTGCCCACCTTTCTTTTGTCCCAGAGCAGCTGGATATGGATCCCTGCTTTCCACAAGTGGCTGGAACTTCAGTGTCTCCAGGAATTCTCCCTGTCTTAGCTTTCCAACCCCCTAATCATGAGAGTGTCATGAAAGCACCATGAAATGTAGGTTTGTGCTCCCAGAGCAGATCTCCCCGGAGCTGGTATTCAGCAGTTCCAGGCCTCCACTCCCTCCCTGCTCTGTTTCTCTTCCTTCCGCTGGAGAACTGGGGTGGGGAAAGGCCTTGGGTTATGCTGGGCCATGGCTTTGGTATGTTATCCTGTTCTGTGAGGTCTGCTCTTTTCTCCAGGTGTATGCAGTCCTGCGCAGTCCTCTTTCCTGTTGCTCTTTCAGTATTAGTTGTATTAATTATTTTTTCTTATTATATGCAGTTTTAGGAGGAAGCCTATGTCTCATCTCTCACACCATCTTTAATCCTCTCTCTAATCAGCCATTTATCTTCTGAAGCATTATTAAAGGCAATCAATCTGCTTTATGTTCATCAGAATTAGATTTTATGTACATCTAATCTCTTAGGAAGATACATACCACATTTATTTTGTCTTTGTATAGCCCTCTGTTATGGGCTGAACTGTATTTTCCCAAAATTCATATGTTGAAGACCCAGCATTTCAAAATGTTACTGTATTTAGATATAGGGCTTTTCAAGAGGTGACTGAGCCATAATGAAGCTGTTAGGGTGAGCCCTAATCCAACCTGACTGGTGTCCTTGTAAAAAGAGAGGACTGGGAATAATTGTTACTCAGGACATGTACACACAAAGGCAAGACAGGACATGGTGAGAGGCAGTCATATGCAAGCCAAGCAGAGAGGAGTAACCAAGCCTGCCAACACTTTGATCCTGGACTTCATACCCCCAGAAATATGAGGAAGTAAATTTCTGTTGTTTAGTCCACTGTCTGTGGTGTTTTGTTATGGCAGTCCTAGCACACTAATACATTCCTTCCTGCTTCAATACTCTCAAAATGCCTTTTGACTAGGACAATCCTTTTGCAGGTCCTTGATAGGTTCAATGAAAATTTAAGATTTTATCACAGCACTCAGAATTAAGGCTTTCCCAATAAAAAGTAATGATAAATTGCAATGAAAGTCTCTTAAACAAATAGTGCTGGAACTGGAATAGATATAGATAGATATAGATATAGATATAGATATAGATATAGATATAGATATAGATATAGATCTCACATCTTTCACAAAAATTCAAGATGTACCATAGACCTAAATGTAAAAAGTGAAACTATAGAACTTCTAAAAGATAACAGAGGAGAACAATCTTGGTGGCCTTGGGTTTAGAGATGACTTTTAAGTCGTAACACCAAAAGTACAATCCCTGAAGGAAAAAACTGGCAAGATTTTCATAAGGATTTCATTAAAATGAAAAGCTTCTACTCTGGCAAATAAGCATATAAGATGTTCAGTATCATATGTCATTAGGTAATTAAAAATTAAAACAAGATACCACTACACAGCTATTAGAATGGCAAAAATTAAAAACACTGACCACATCAAATGCTGGTGAGCATGTGTAGCGACAGGAACTCACATTCGCTGCTGATGGGAATATAAAATGGTACCACTTTGGAAGACAGGCTGGCAGTTTCTTACAAAGCTAAACATAAGCTTACCATACAATTGAGTAATTGTGCTGTAGGTATTTACCCAAATGAGTAGAAAACATGTCCACACAAAAACCTGCATGTATATATGAATGTTTATACTGGCTTTATTCATAACTTAGAAGCAGCTACAATGTTCTTCAATAGGCAAATGGGTAAACTGTGATACAGCCATTCAGTGGAATATTGTTTAACAATAAAATACATTATCAAACACAAAAAGACAAGAAGGAATTTTAAATGCATATGCTAAATGAAAGGAGCCAGTCCAAAAAGGCTATACATTGCATGATTCCAACAATATCAAAACTACAGGGACAGTGAAAAGATCAGTGGTTGCCTGAGGAAAGGAAGAGAGGTGGGCAGGGATGAATATATAGAGCACACAGCGTTTTTAAGGCAGTGAAACTATCTGTTTGATACTGTAATGAACAAAGAGTGAACCTTAGTGTAAACTGTGGACTTTAGTTCATTATGACATATGAGTATTGGCTCATCAGATGTAATGAATGGATGGATAGCAGTAAAATAAGATACTAGTAATTCTCCATCTCTTGGGGATGGAGAAAGCAGGTTTACAGGAACTTTGTTTTCTCTGTAATTTTTCTATAAAATTAAAACTTCTCTAAAAAAATCTAAATATCTAAAAAACAATGTGCTAAACTTTATACATTTTAACTATGAATAATCATGTTTTTATCACCAATTATTGACAAAGTACATAACAGAATTTTCCAGATAGCTACACTTACCACCTTTAGCATTGTAATTCATAATTTAAAAAACAATTTTGAGAGAAAAGTTTTCTAAAAAGTATCTATTTGTCTGTTGTGCATGAGAGTATTTTTAAAATAATTTGACCCTTTTGATATCGATAAACATCAATTATTATTCTGGAATATTGGGGTTTTTAGGCCACTGTGAGAGTATAATGAGTTAGTAATTCTGGCTCTTCTACTGTTTTCAGCTGCAAATTTTTAGTCTGACAACTTTTAGCAGCCACCTACTTCACAATTTCTAGCCTGTTATCTACTAAACTTAGGCTGAAATGGTTTCAAGATCAAATTAGATGAGCAGGCTTATTACAAGCTTTTTAAACACAGCTTTAGTTTAAAATGTCTTTATATGAAGATGTTCATGTAACTCTACCTGTATGGGTGACCATATGAATTTTGTGATAACTATTCCCCTCCTGACTCAGAGAGCATTTATTTTTGATTTCTGGTTTTAGGGCCGTATTGAGGCAAAAGAAGTCCTAATGACATATAAGGGCAGGCACTTTCACTTAAATTTCATATCGCATATTAAAAAAAATCTTCCTACTACACAGTCACATGTTTTTCTTATTCTTTAGAAGTATTTTTCATTCTATCTACTTTCTTGACTTCCTCTCTGAAATTCCAGTGTCCCCCTGCTCCCAGAATCTTTTTATCTTACCTCCTGAATTCTCAGGTTCATTTTACGTTTTGTGGTCTTCAGTTCCTCTTCAATAATGGCTACATTTTTCTAAAAGTAGGAGGAGGAAAGTTTATAAATAATTTGAAATGATAGGAAGAAACTGTCTATAGGTGCCTCAGTTTGAATCTAGTCTTTTTTCTGGCAATGTATAAATGCTATTCTGAATATGGCTATAAATACTTCTTACTGTGAGTCTGAAGTAATTATTACAATGAGATATTTTTAGAAGTTATTTTATAACTTTGATTCATGACTTCTATCATTTCCCCTTTTAGATCACAAAGAGTGATTAGTTACACTCACTTGCTATATGTTTCAATAATCAGAGGAGAACCTGGTAATTGACAGAAAGTTTTCTTATAGGATATATTCTTATTTTTTTGGTAAGTACTCCATTTCTTCTAACTTCAAGTATTATCCATGTTAGGAGTTGAGGATCAAAAACACAGCTTTCACTATTTATTCTCTTTTATATTATTATTAATGGTGCCACAATCTGAGATGTAAACCTCAAAGTCATTTTTGCCCTCTTCGTACCTTCAGCTCCTATCCAGTGCCATTTTCTACCTTATACTTCTTCACACAATATTCCTCTTTCTTTTCAAAATACCACAACCTTATTCAAACCTAATAAGACTCAGGCCTCAAATAATGCATTGATTCCTAATTGGTTTCCCTGACTCCAACCTTTTCTCCTATAACCAATATTCTACATTATTGCCAGATTAGTTTTCCTGTTTTCATTTCGTCACTTATCAAAAAACTCAGTCACTATAGGATCAAGCCCAACTTATTCTTGATTTTGAGATTCTTTATAATGTGATCTTTAGTTAATTTCCAGCTTATTTCCTGTGAACAAATCCTCACTCCTGTCAGCTACCTTATGCATTTCCTCCCAACCACACCCAGTGAAAGATCTGTGTTCAAACATGGGTTACAGAAAGAAGACAAGGAAGTGTGATCCTGGAGAAGTGCCTTCTCTCTGGATCCCAGTGTGCTTATCATCAAAGTGGGGACAATACTCTGTATCATGAGATTTTACAAAGATTAAACAAAGTAACATGTTGAACATCTACTATACTGCCTGGCTCAGGAAGGGAAAACAAAATTGTCAGTTTATTTTCCTGCCTTTATTCTTAGCTGCCTCTGCGTGTATTCCTTGAAATGTCCTCACCTCTTTACTTTGCCTTCTAAAGGTTCAGCTCAAGTCCCCCTCGTAGTCTAATCTGGATATGGCATAGCGCCCTCTCATCCCCACCTAAACACAAAACATGACTTCAATATTCTCTATTGCTCTTTCCTGTCCTTTAACATTTCCTATGCCTTATTGTTTCTCTATAATTTTTCATGCTCTGCCTTGTTCTCCCAGCCAGGAAAGAAACTCTTGAAGAGCACAGACTCTACTTCACATCTCTGGATCCTCACAGTCACATGTACAGGATAAGGACTCTATAAATACTCGATTACTGATAACACACAGTAGTTCAGGCTATCAATGGAGATACACTTCTAACATCAAGAATCCTCACATCAACATCACCTATTTTTTTTTTTTGTAGATAATTATTTTTTATTGAGGGGTAGTTGACACACAGTATTACATTAGTTTCAGGTGTACAACACAGAACATCACCTATTTTTAAAAGTCAATTTTATGGGTCAGTTGCCTTCTCCAGCTGACACTTAACAGTGAATTTGTGTTTCAGGAGTCTGGATTCAAACCTTAGTCTCTGAGGCAATCTCCAGGGTGGCAGTCAACCTTTGCACTTCGTCTTGTGCCTTGTCTTCTTCTTTTACATCTCGTAGTTGCTGGCACAAATCCATCACTTCAAGGTGCAATAGCTTCAGGTCCTTGGAATGCTCCTCCTGTACGGTTTTCAGCTGATCCTTCAAAAAAGCTACCAGACAGCACAGGAGGGTCATTGAGCAGTTGAAATAAGATCAGGAAGGGAAAAGAATCATAAGCCCATCAAGCACCCATACAAAACCAACTTGCTGATGATTCTCTTCTCTCTGTACCTGTTTTCTGTGGATTCAAATCCTTTTCAGTTTGCAGGCAAAAGATGTTCATTTTCAAGAACTGGATAAGGCTTTCTAGATGGCACATTCTATTTACCAGAAACTCACAGTTCTTCCATAAAATATCCATTTTTCCTGAACAAAATACTTCATTTTGCATAGGACTAATGATGTTCTGGCTCACAGGCTCTTCCAAACATTTTGGAGCTCCCAACTGACTTCTGGACAAAGATCCCAATGTAACATTATGAAGCAATGCAATACATACTATGGTAATATCAATCACTGAAACATTTCTACTAAGAATAAAAATTAGATTCCTTAGTTAACAAGCATCTGTTACCTCCTCCAAGTTTAAATATAGAGGGAACTATTAGGTAAAAGACACCAAGGTGAGATGGGTGAAGATCACTGACTTTAATTGTTGTTTATTTTACTTTGAAGTTTTTGTAAACTTTTTTTTTGTGTGTGGAAAAACAAGTGATTCATAAAACATGTTAAATGCTAATCCTAAAATGATGAACTTAGAGTTAACATTAGCAACGAAGCAATATATTCACATGTTTAAGAAAAATGTTAAGGTCATAATAAACCTTTTATGTTCCTATTTTGTTCCAACATACTCAATATTTGTGCAAATTTAATTTTTATCTGCTGTAGAGTTACTTATTCTGTGGGTGTTATAATACCAACTATACTAACTTTAGGTCTTCGTGAAAGACATCATGAAATACATATTTAATTTTAAGAAAATCACACCAGTAAATTGGATATTGGCTACTTAAGCACCTAGGCCATCCAGCTTTTAATGGCAATAATTTCTGCAGCAGCACAAGGGGAAAAATAGTTCTTTTTCTGAGTACCTCATTTTAAATTATGAATTTTCTTAGGGCTTAAAACTTCTCTTTTAATTTACAAAAAAAATCCCCTGGGAAATGAAAATGAAGATCATATTAATGGCATGAATCCAGTTTAGATGTTCACCTTAACTAATATCAAAGTCTATTTTTTAGTTAAAAAATAACCAAAATTTTTTCTAATTACACAAAACATTATGCTTTTTTAAATCACATGTTGAAGGTGAACAGGATATAAAGTTTTGCAATTAACACACTTTAAGTATCTATTTAGGAGAATAGTGGTAGTAGCTCTATTACATTACAACTCTTTCTCTTGCAATATTTTAAAAATTAATGTTCAAATGGAAACTCAATTTTTTGTAAATACCTAGTTCATCTGCAAACATCTAAACTGCGACTCCTTATTAACTCCAGTGGAGCAAAACTGTTCAAATTAGAGAGATCTATTTCATTTTTCATGTTACCCTTTTTCACCAAAGTCTACCATAATTAGGTCATCCCTCAGAGAACTGGTCTTTTTTCAACGATTCTCAACCTTTGCTGAAGTACTGTGAATGTTGTAGCACTGATGTGGGTTGGAGAGAGGACTGGTCTGGACATTGTAGTTTCTATATGCACCTGAGATTAAAGTCACAATATTAGTGTAGTAGGTTCTATGGTTGTGCAAAATAGTCACTGCCCCTTCCTGTGGGAGGATTATACTTCCTGTATGTTGACTTCAGGATGGCCATTTGTCCTTCTTTGGCCAATTAAATGAGGGTGGAAGCTTTAAAAGCCAACTTGTCATTCACTATCTCTTTCTTTTCCCTCTTCCAAGATGAGCAGTTTCTCAGACAGGGCCTGTTCCTGGTGCCAGAGTGAAGATGACATGAAGCAGAGCCATGATCTCACAACACCCAATGTGAGTGAGCAATAAACATATAAGCCATTGAGATGTTGAGCAGTTTGCTATTGCATCATAACCTAGTCTATCCTATCTGCTATTATTAGACACACACTAGGGCTTGTGACTTGGTTGAGGAAGTTACCAGCCATTACCAGCCATTTTCATTTAACATATTCCCATCCAACGTGTCTGAAAAATACTATACTTGAACATCTGAGGAGCCAACAAATAGATTTACCAACTACATTGGAGCAGGGGTTTTAAAAAATAATTTGCAAACTTAACTTCATAGCAAAGACTCTTCTATAGCTATTGATATCACATTTTCAGACATCTCTCTCCAAACCACATGAGAGCATATGACAGTAGTAAGATTACTTTTTCAGTATGAGTCACAGAAGCAGAATTAGCTGATAAGCAGCTGTAACATGTAAACAAATTATGTACCCAAAGTTCAATGATAAGGTCTTTGGTCGAAACTTTAAGGACATTTTCTTGCAACTCCATCCTATACAGACATTTCTATATTAATCAGACTATAAACCTTAACTACCACTAGCATCAGTGTTCCTACGGGAATGTGCTCACGAAGATCCTACTTGGGATATTAGGAACACACTTTTCTCCCCAACTTTCTGTCATCAGATATCTTTCTTCTCCTCATCTCCCAGGCAGTGGAAGTAGGGACTACCTCAGGTCCAAGTCACTGAAAGTGGTCCCAGGGACCCAGGGCAGGAATTATAGGAGTGGGAAAACCAGTGGCAGGATTTAAGGGGGGAAGAAGCAAGCAAGGGGACTGTGCAAAGACTGATCTTTTTGCCAATATAACGCTGCCACAGACATCAAGGATATTTCTTCCTCCTGGAATAGTTTTCTTATCACCTTCTATCTTTTCTCCATATACCCCAGAGAAAGGCCTTCCTATTTTTTTTAAACTTTATTGAGGAATAATTGATAAATTGTATATATTTAAAGTGCACAACTTGTAATTTGATACAATACACATTGTAGAATGGGTACCATGATCAAGATAACACATGCATCACCCCACATAGTTAGCAGTTAACTTTTTTGTGTGTGTGCTAACAATGCTTAAGATCTACTCTCACAACTTTCAAGGATACAATACTGTATTATTTTAGTTACTATGCTGCACATTAGATCCTCAGAACTTATTCTTATTTCACAGGTAAAGAATGATGGAAAATATTTGGAAACTGCGTTATCTGATAAGGGGTTAATGTCCGAAATATATAAAGAACTCACAATTCAATAGCAAAAAAAGCAAATAATCCAGTAAAAAGTGGGTGGAGAACCTGAGTATTTTTCCAAAGAAGTCACACAAATGGCCAATAAGCAAATGAAAAAGTGCTCAACATCACTCTAAATCAGGGAAATGCAAATCAAAACCACAATGAGGTATCACATAGTTAGTATGGCTATTATCAAAAAGATAACATATGTTGGCAAAGATGCTATAACCACTATGGAACACAGTAGTTTCCACAAAAAATTAAAAATTGAACTACCATATGACCCCACAATCCCACTCCTGGGTGCACATCCAAAGGAACTGAAATCAGGATCTCAAAGAGGTATTTGCACACCATGCTGAGTGCAGCATTAGTCATAATGGCCAAGATAGGGAAAAACCTAAATGTCCTACAGCAGATGAATGGATAAAGAAAATGCGAGACATACACACACACACAGGAATATTACTCAGCTATAAACAGGAAACTCTGCTGTTTGTGACAATGGACGAATCTGGAGGGCATTATGCTAAGTGAGGTAAATCAAAGAAAAATACTGCATGGTATCACTTATTTGTGGAGTCTAAAAAAGAAAAAAAAAACAAAGCTCATTTCATAGAAACAGAGAATGGTGGTTACCAGGGGCTGAAGAGAGGGAGAAAGTGGGTGATATCAGTCAAAGGGTACAAATTTTCTTTTTACTCATATTTTAGTGCTTCTGCTGTGGATTTCTCTCTTTTATGCTATTCTTTGAAACAGAATGCATGTCCAGTATCTCTTTGAATCTACTAACAGATTTTCTGTTTCACAATCATCGTAAGGACATGGGGGTAAAGAAGCACTCTACTATTAATTCCTCTTCATGTTTTTAAATCTTTCCTGAAGGGAAAGACAAAGGCATATATGAATATTAATGGGGTCTTTGTATACATAAAGAGTTGAAGTGAGGTTCATCTATATTTCTGAAAAAGAGCTAGAGACTGCGGCTTGTGTTACCACATGGGCCAGTACAGTGTTCCTCAAGGAATAGAAGGACAAGCCTTTAAAACAGACTCTTGGACTGATTCTGATGCCATGAAAACATGGCTAGGTTTGGGAAAGACACCAATAGTGTGGGACAAGGAGCAAATGGAGGGGTAATAATGGAGAAACATCACATGGGTTTACCCTCCATTTAATTATCTGTCACTGCTCTCTGGCTATTGCCAACCTTGAAATAAATCAAGCCTGAAATGGGGAGAAAAAGTATGGAAAGGGTGTTTAAAGGGATCTGTGGAAGACATAGTTAGCTCCTTTGTGCTCTCTCCAAAACAAGCTGGTGAGTTCATGTTCCCAGCCTCCCTTGAGGCTAGCATACCCACATGACATATTCTGACCAATGAACCTTTAGGCAGAAGTTGCAAGGAACTTTTAGGCAGATTTTTGTTTTTCTTTAAAAAGGACAGAAATGATGGCATGTGTCCTTTCCTTCCTCCACTATGAGGCCCAGAGCTCTGAGGCTCTCTCAGGAAGCCATGCAGTGCCACAGTCTTCAATATAAACAAAGAGCCAGAGCTCACCAGCATCTGAGAAACACAAGGGAAAGCCCAGAGAAGCTCAGATTAAACTGCCTTAAAAAAAAAAAAAACCCCAAAAAACAAAACTAGTAACCTCCAAATTCTGCTTATTTGAGAAAATACACTTCTGTGAGTTTTGTTTAAGTCCCTTTTTTTCTGGTGCTTGCAACAAAAGCATCCTGATGCAAGGAGGTCCCAGGCAATAGTTGGTGGAGAAACAAGTGGAATTAGGAGGTTAAGTAAATGACAAGCACTACCAGAGGTTGAAGGGGAGGATATATTAGGCCCAGGTATTTGATTATAATATAAAGTACTGCCTATGTTCATTTATTATCAGAAGCCAAGCACAAAATACTAATACAAAGATAGCAAAAGTCCATTTGGGAGCAAAAAATAAAGGAGATGAAATAAAGTTTCCCACATATTTTGAATGAGATCCGGATTCCTACCTAGCGAAAGTGAGGTAAGACTCAGTCAGTCTACTGTATTGGGGCTTTGACTCAGGAGAGATTCTTTTTCCCTACGGGTGCCCCACACACGTTTCTCTTTCTGTATTGCCTAAAAGTGCATGGGACATTGTGTGTGGCAAATAAATGGGGATAATTCAGTAAATTTAACCAATGTCTGTTCTGGATTCACATAAGTGCCAGGTACCGGGGAAAGGAGCAATCAATGAGTGAATTCCTCACACCAGCATTCTAATAGGCAGGCCAAGGATAACCAGAAAAATAAATCATTAATGTCAAAATGGCTCTGCCAGGAACCTATAACCTCCATCCTAACATATAAATAAATAAAGAAAAGATGGTACTGGGGCTTATCTGGAGGCCCTCCCTGGTGGTTATCCTCCCTCCCTTAGCTGGTGCCAGGCCAATGCAAACTTCGCTCCCAAATGGTTTTCACTGGCATCCAGTGCAGAATTGTCACAAATCAGGTTCCTGAGGCCCGGAGGGCGAGACAACTCGGCCAGGGAGAAGACAGGGCCGCAGGGAGAGAGGATGGTGGTCTCATCTGGGCCGCCCACTCTCCCCCCACGGGTTCTGACCTTAGTTCCTGGCTCGCCCGCCCAGGGACCAGGAACTTCACTCCACAGTCCACTTGTCTGCCCGTGGCTCTGTCTGGCAGCAGGTAGGCGGGTTTTGTTCCCATGGAACAAAAACACTGCTTTAAACCACCCGGCTCCCCTGCGCGGCAGCTCCCGCAGGCCGGCACACCAGTGGCAAGGCATGCCGGGAATTGTAGTTTCCCCAGCCCTGGAACCCCACCCACCTCTGCCCGGGGCGGGACCCAGGAGGGAATCCGGCGGCGCGCAGGGAACGCGCAGCCCCATGACCCGGATGACGACAGGGCTTCACGGTGCTCTCCCGCGAGGCCGGCCGGGATACGTAGTTTCCGCCCACTCACCTGGCGGACGTCCATTTGTCAGCTCTGCAGAGGGGCTGGTCTCACCTCCGTGAACGGGCGGCGTTTGGGTTTGGCAGTCATACCCTGCAGCAGGCGTGAGCCGGGATTAGAAAATGTCTTCAGTTTTAGGAAGAAGAAAATATCAAGTTTTAGGAAGACTAAAATGAATGGTGGGAAAATAACAGATTTTGTTAGCATAAATAATAGTAAAAATCCAGAACTCATTCTCGTGAAGGAAAAATCAAGTCCTTCATCCTCATCCAGCATGGCTAGAGATAAAACATGAATCTTGTCTTTTCTTGTCTTTTGTCCCTTAAGCTCAATTTATTTCTTGCCTTGTGGACTGGTAAGTGAATAGGTATTTCTAAATCTGACTGTAAGTAGCTAAGAAGCAAGAAACAGCGTTGAAAACTAAACTGCTGGCGTTTCTGAATTGTTTGCTGTAAGAGTGGGAATTCACACTTAACTAGGAGACTTCCAAGATGAAAAGACAACAGAGACTCTTCATTGAAGTAGCTGGAGACAACACCTGTTAACACCACCGGAGCAATTAACGCATTCCTCTTTTCCTTGGGGGCGCAGCTGAGCAAGCAGTCAGATCCGAGAGGAGCCTTGAATTGCTTAGCAAGTAGCTGACTGAATCTGGCTATTCTAATACTTCTGTACCCGAGCCTCAACATGAGATGAAATGTCCATCACACCACAGCTGAAAGACATCCATCAAACTGTGAGCCCATCAGGTGAAAGAGAAATGAGCACCACATACTTTATTCAGGTAAAAGGACCAAATAAAGCTTTTTAAAAATAAAAGTTAAATGTACATCACAGTGGTTCAACAGCCCCTCCCTCTGCACCACCACTCCTCTCCCCTCAGTAACCACTAGTCACTTCTGTATCTACGAATCTACTGCTGTTTTGTTCCTTCTGTTTTGCTTTTTTTAATTTTCCACAATTAAGAGAAATCACAGGGTATTCTCTGCCTAGCTTATTTCACTGAGCATAATACCCTCTAGATTTATTTATGTTGTTGCAAATGGCAGGATTTATTTTCTGTTTATGGCTGAATAATATTCCATTGTGTATATGTACCACATCTTCTTTATCCATTCATCTATTGATGGACACTTAGGTTGCTTCCATATCTTGGCTACTACAAATAGCATGGTGATTTTCAAATCAGGGATTTTGTTGTCTTTGGGTAAATTCCTATGAATGGAATTACTAGGTCAAACGGTATTCCTATTTTTAGTTTTTTGAAGATTCTTCTTACTGCTTTCCACAACAGTTGCATCAATTTACATTCCCACCAACAGTGTAGGAGGGTTCCCATTTCTCTACATCCTTGCCAGCACTTGTTTCTTGTCTTTTGGACAGTGGCCATTCTAACTGGTGTGAGGGGATATCGCATTGTGGTTTTAATTTGCATTTCCCTGATAATTAGTCATTTGGAGCATGTTTTCATGTGCCTGTTGGCCATTTATATTTCTTCTTGGGAGAAGTGTCTGTTCAAGTCTTCTGCCCATTTCTTAATTATGGTTGTTTTTTGGATGTTGAGGCATATGAGTTCTTTATATATTTTGGATGTTAACCCCGTATCAGATGAGCCATTTATGAATATATTCTCCCATAATGTAGGATGCCTTTTTGTTCTGCTAATGATATCCTTCGCTGTACAAGCTTTTTAGTTTGATGTAGTACCACTTGTTAATTTTTATTTGTTTCCCTTGCTCAAGGAGATGTGTTCAGGAAAAAATTGCTCATGTTTATATTAAGAGGTTTTTTCCTATGTTTTCTTCTGAGAGTTTTATGGTTTCATGACTTACACTCAGGTCTTTGATTCAGTTCGAGTTTAGTTTTGTGCATGGAGTTAGACAGTTAATTAGTTTCATCCTCTTACATGTAGCTGTCCCGTTTTCCCAACACAGTTGTTGAAGAAGCTGTCTTTTCCCATTGTATCATGGCTCCTTTATCTTATATTAATTGGCCATATATGTGTGGTTTATATCTAGGCTCTCTATTCTGTTTCATTGATCTATGAGTTTGTTCTTGTTTCAGTGCCAAATTATTTTGATTACTGTGGCTTTGAAGTGGAGTTTGAAGTCAGGGAGCATAATCCCCCCAGCTTTGTTCTTCCTTCTCAGGATTGCTTGGCTATTTGGGGTCTTTTGTGTTTCCATATTAATTTTAGAACTATTTGTTCTAGTTCATTGAAGAATGCTTTGGGAATTTTGATAGGCATTGCATAGGATCTGTAAATTGCTTTGAGCAGGATGACCATTTTGGCAATATTAATTCTTCTGATCCATGTGCATGGGATAGATTTGCATTTTTTGGTGGCTTCTTTAATTTCTCTCAAGAGTGTCTTGTAGTTTTCAGGGTATAGGTCTTTCACTTCCTTGGTTAGGTTTATTCCTAGGTATTTTATTCTTTTTGAAGCACTTGTAAATGGAGTTGTTTTCCTGATTTCTCTTTCTGGTAGTTTGTTGTTGGTATATAGGAATGAAACAGATTTCTGTGTATTAATTTTGTATCCTGCAACTTGGCTGAATTCAGTTATTAGTTCTAATAGTTTTGGGGTGGTTTCTTTAGAATTTTTATGTATAGTATTATGTCATCTGCAAACAGTGACAATTTAACTTCTTCCTTACCAATTTGGATGCCTTTTATCTCTTTGTGGTGTCTGATTGCCTTGGCTAGGTCCTCCAGTACTATGTTGAATAGAAGTGGTAAAAGTGGGCATCCTTGTCTGTTCCCAATCTTAGAGGAAAAACTTCAAGCTTTTTGCTGTTAAGTATGATATTGGCTGTGGGTTTGTTATATATGGCCTTTATTATGTTGAGGCATGTACCCTCTATTCCCATTTTGTTGAGAGTTTTTATCATGAATGGATGTTGAATTTTGTCTAATGCTTTTTCAACATCTATTGATATGATCATGTGATTTTTGTCCTTTTTAGTTGATGTGATGTATGATATTGATTGATTTACAAATATTGTACCATCCTTGCATCCCTGGAATAAATCCCACTTGGTCATGATATATGATCTTTTTGATGTATTTTTAGATTCAGTTTGCTAATATTTTGTTGAGTATTTTTGTATGTATGTTCAACAGGGATATTGGTCTATAATTTTCTTTTTTGTTGTGTCTTTGTCTGGTTTTGGTATTCGCCTTCTAGAATGAGTTTGGAAGTATTCCCTCTTCTACTTTTTGGAATTCTTTGAGAAGGATTGGTCCTAGCTCTTTAAATGTTTGGTGAATTTGGCTGTGAAGCTGTGTGGATCTGGAGTTTTGTCTTTAGGAGTTTTTTTATTACCAATTCATTTTCATTGCTGGTAATTGCTGTTCAGATTTTCTGTTTCTTCCTGGGTCAATCTTGGAAGGTTGTATTTTTCCAGTGTCCATTTGTTCTGTTATCCAATTTATTGACATAATTTTTCATACTATTCTTTAATAATTATTTGTATTTCTGCAGTATCCACTGTGATTATTCCTTCTTTGTTTCTGATTCTGTTTATGTGTGTACACTCTCTTCTTTTCTTGAAAAGTCCAGCTAGGGGTTTATCTATTTTGTTTATTTTCTCAAAGATCCAGCCTCTGTTTTCATTGATTGTTTTCTATTGTTTTATTCTTCTCTCCTATTTATTTCTTCTCTGATGTTTATTACATTCCTCCTTCTATAGACTTTGGAATTCATTTGTTCTTCTTTTTCTAGTGTCTTTAATTGTGATTTTAGACTGTTTATTTGAGAATATTAGTGTTTTTTGAGGTAAGCCTTTATTGCTATGTACTTTCCTCTTAGAGTTGCCTTTGCTGCGTTTCACAGATTTTGGACTGTTGTGTTTTCATTTTCATTTATCTCCATGTATTGCTTGATTTCTGTTTTAATTTGTTCATTGATCCATTGATTATTTAGAAGCATGTTGTTTAGCCTCCATGTATTTGTAATTCTTTTTGTTTCCTTTGTGTAATTCATTTCTAGTTTCATACCACTGTGGTCTGAGAAGCTGCTTGATACAAAATCAATCTTTTTGAATTTATTGAGGCTTTTCTTGGGGCCTATTTATATGATCTATTATGGAAAGTGTTCCATGTACATGAGAAAAATGTGTATCCTGTTGCTTTTGGTTGAAGTGTTCCATAGATACCTGTTAGGTCCATTTGATCTAATATATTGTTCAGTGCCTCTGATTCCTTATTTATTTCTCTCTGGTTGATCTGTCTATTGATATGGGTGGTGTGTTAAAAAGTCTCCTAAAATGAATGTGTTGCCATCTATTTCCCCCTTTAATTCTGTTGGTATTTGCTTTACATATTTAGGTTCTTCTGTATTGGGTGTATAGACATTTATAATGGTTATATTCTCTTGTTGGACTGATCCCTTTATCACTATGTAATGTCCTTCTTTGTCTCTTGATTCTTTCTTTGTTTTGAAATCAATTTTGTCTGCTATTTCTGCTTATTTCTCCCTATTATTTGCATGAAATATCTTTTTCCATCCCTTCACTTTTATTCTGTGTATGTCTTTGTGTCTGAAATGAGTCTCTTGTAGGCAGTCTATAGATGTATCTTGTTTTCTTATCCAGTCTGCTTCTCTATGCCTTTTGATTGGTGCAATCCATTTACATTTAAGGTCATTATTGATAGATATGTACTTATTGCCATTTTATTAATTGTTTCCTGCTGTTTTTTTTATATCTCCTCTCTGTTCATTTCTTCCTTGCCTATATTCTTCTCTTGTTATTGATGGCTTTCTTTATTGTTGTATTTGGATTTCTCTCTCTTTAAAATTTATTTGTTTATGTGTGTGTGTATTTATTGTAG